CGGGAGAGACGGGAAATTCGGGAAATTCGTGAACTGGAAGCCGATGGAAGGAGAGAAAGAGAATCAGTGAGATACGAAAGGGACAGAGAGACCTCGGTGGGTGCAGCAGCTGAAGCCGATGTGAAAATCCGCAGAGAGATCCGGGAACGGGAACCGCGAGAGGAGCTGAGGAGGAGAGAACGACCCCGGGAACGTGAGGAGGAAGCAGAACCGGAGAGAACTTCCCGGGTCAGAGAGAGGGAGGAGATTGTGAGGGAGAGAAGAATCGATCGGGAACGGGAACGGGACCTGGAGGGCTCTGAGCGCCGGAGCCGCCGGACACGGGAACGGGAGGAAGAAGTGACCGCGATCGGGCCGAGAGAGGCCCGGGAGAGACGGGAAATTCGTGACATTGAAGCCGATGGAAGGAGAGAACGAGAATCAGTGAGATACGAAAGGAGAAGAGAGACCTCGGTGGCTGCAGCAGCTGAAGCCGATGTGAAAATCCGCAGAGAAATCCGGGAACGGGAACCGCGAGAGGAGCTGAGGAGGAGGGAACGACCCCGTATTTTTGAAGATGAAGAGAGAGAAATTTCCCGAGAAAGAGACCGGGAAGAGACCGTGAGGGAGAGGAGAATCGATCGGGAACGGGAACGGGAGCTGGAGGGCTCTGAGGGCCGGACACGGGAACGGGAGGAAGAAGTGACCGCGATCAGGCAGAGAGAGGCACGGGAGAGACGGGAGAGGGAAATTCGTGAGATTGAAGATGATGGAAGGAGAGAACGAGAATCAGTGAGGTACGAAAGGAGAAGAGAGACCTCGGTGGCGGCAGCAGCTGAAGCCGATGTGAAAAGCCGCAGAGAAATCCGGGAGCGGGAACCGCGAGAGGAGCTGAGGAGGAGAGAACGACCCCGTGTTTTTGAAGATGAAGAGAGGAGAATTCTCCAGGGCAGAGAGAGGGAAGAGATCGTGAGGGAGAGAAGAATCGATCGGGAACGGGAACGGGACCTGGAGGGCTCCGAGCGCCGGAGGCGGGAACGGGAGGAAGAAGTGACCGCGATTCGGCAGAGAGAGGCCCGGGAGAGACGGGAGCGGGAAATTCGTGACATTGAGGCCGAAGGAAGGAGAGAACGAGATTTTGAAAGGAGAAGAGAGACCTCGGTGGCTGCAGCAGCTGAAGCCGATGTGAAAATTCAGAGAGAGATCCGGGAACGGGAACCACGCGAGGAGCTCAGGAGGAGGGAACGACCCCGGGAACGTGAGGAGGAAGAGAGAGAAATTTTCCGTGGCAGAGAGAGGGAAGAGACCGTGAGGGAGAGAAGAATCGATCGGGAACGGGAGCGGGACCTGGAGGGCTCTGAGCGCCGGAGCCGCCGGACACGGGAACGGGAGGAAGAAGAAGCGACCGCCACTGAGCAGAGCGAGGGGATCACCCTGGAGGTCCTGGAGGAGGAAGAGGAGGAGGATTTGGAGCAGGAGCGCTGCCGGTACCAGACCGTGGACGTGGACACGGCCGATCTGTGCCCCCCGGGCCAGGAGGCGCCGTTCAGCGATCTCCGGGTCCGCTACGTCCCTTCCGAGCCCGATGTCCGGCCCCGGCTCCGCGCTCTGCCCGGCCCCGCTGACCCCCAGACCGTCGCTTACCTGGTGCACGTGGTCCAGAGCGCCGAGGACCCCGAGGCCACCACCTACGAGATCGTTTGTCACCCTCCGGGCCACCAGCGGGGCCAGCTCGGCGCTCCGCGGAAGTGCTCGGTGTCCCCGCGGCCGCAGCGCCCCGAGGCGCCGCCTTCCAAATGCCGGGAAAGCTCCAAAGGTCCGGGTGAGGAATCCGGGAAGGACGCGGCTCCCCGGGATCCGGGCGTGAAGGGCGAGCGGGCAAAATCCAAGGAAATCCAGGAGGAGGAGCGGGATCGCGGGGACGGAACCGGGAGGGAGATCGGGAACGGCCCGAGGGCTGCGGAGCCCCGGGAAGCATCCCGGGATGAGGAGCGGAGAGANGGGAGAGACGGGAAATTCGGGAAATTCGTGAAATTGAGGCCGATGGCAGGAGAGAACGAGATTTACTGAGCTATGAACGCAGAAGAGAGACCTCGGTGGCGGCAGCAGCTGAAGCCGATGTGAAAATCCGCAGAGAAATCCGGGAACGGGAACCGCGGGAGGAGCTGAGCAGGAGAGAACGACCCCGTGTTTTTGAAGAAGAAGAGAGAGAAATTTCCCGGGGCAGAGAGAGGGAAGAGACCGTGAGGGAGAGAAGAATCGATCGGGAACGGGAACTGGAGAGCTCTGAGCGCCGGAGGCGGGAACGGGAGGAGGAAGTGACCGCGATCGGGCAGAGAGAGGCACGGGAGAGACGGGAGCGGGAAATTCGTGAACTCGAAGCCGATGGAAGGAGAGAACGAGAAACAGAGAGATACGAACGCAGAAGAGAGACCTCGGTGGCTGCAGCAGCTGAAGCCGATGTGAAAATCCGCAGAGAGATCCGGGAACGGGAGCCGCGAGAGGAGCTGAGGAGGAGAGAACGACCCCGGGAACGGGAGGAGGAAGAGACAGGAATTTCCCGAGTCAGAGAGAGGGAGGAGATTGTGAGGGAGAGGAGAATCGATCGGGAACGGGAGCTGGAGGGCTCCGAGCGCCGGAGGCGGGAACGGGAGGAAGAAGTGACCGCGATCGGGCAGAGAGAGGCCCGGGAGAGACGGGAAATTCGGGAAATTCGTGAACTCGAAGAAGATGGAAGGAGAGAACGAGAATCAGTGAGGTACGAAAGGGACAGAGAGACCTCGGTGGCTGCAGCAGCAGAAGCCGATGTGAAAATCCGCAGAGAGATCCGGGAACGGGAACCGCGAGAGGAGCTGAGGAGGACGGAACGACCCCGGGAACGTGAGGAGGAAGAGACAGGAATTTCCCGGGAAAGAGACCGGGAGGAGATTGTGAGGGAGAGGAGAATCGATCGGGAACGGGAACGGGATCGGGAGGGCTCTGAGCGCCGGAGCCGCCGGACACGGGAACGGGAGGAAGAAGAGGCCGCCATCAACCGGAGAGAGGCACGGGAGAGACGGGAAATTCAGGAAATTCGTGAAAGGGAAGCCGAGGGAAGGAGAGAACGAGATTATGAGAGGACACGGGAGACCTCGGTGGCTGCAGCAGCTGAAGCCGATGTGAAAATTCAGAGAGAGATTCGGGAACGGGAACCGCGAGAGGAGCTGAGGAGGAGAGAACGATCCCGTGTTTTTGAAGATGAAGAAAGGAGGATTCTCCAGGGCACAGAGAGGGAAGAGACCGTGAGGGAGAGAAGAATCGATCGGGAGCTGGACCTGGAGGGCTCTGAGCGCCGGACACGGGAACGGGAGGAAGAAGTGACCGCGATCGGGCAGAGAGAGGCGCGGGAGAGACGGGAAATTCGGGAAATTCGTGAACTCGAAGCCGATGGAAGGAGAGAACGAGATTTACTGAGCTATGAAAGGAGAAGAGAGACCTCGGTGGCTGCAGCAGCTGAAGCCGATGTGAAAATCCGCCGAGAGATCCGGGAACGGGAACCGCGAGAGGAGCTGAGGAGGAGAGAACGGGAACGGGAGCGGGAGGAGGAAGAGAGAGAAATTTCCCGGGAAAGAGACCGGGAAGAGACCGTGAGGGAGAGGAGAATCGATCGGGAACGGGAGCGGGACCTGGAGGGCTCTGAGCGCCGGAGGCGGGAGCTGGAGGAAGAAGTGACCGCGATCGGGCAGAGAGAGGCACGGGAGAGACGGGAGAGGGAAATTCGTGAGATTGAAGATGATGGGAGAAGAGAATCAGTGAGGTACGAAAGGGACAGAGAGACCTCGGTGGCTGCAGCAGCTGAAGCCGATGTGAAAATCCGCAGAGAGATCCGGGAACGGGAACCGCGAGAGGAGCTGAGGAGGAGAGAACGACCCCGTGTTTTTGAAGATGAAGAGAGGAGAATTCTCCAGGGCAGAGAGAGGGAAGAGACCGTGAGGGAGAGAAGAATCGATCGGGAACGGGAACGGGAGGGCTCTGAGCGCCGGAGGCGGGAACGGGAGGAAGAAGTGACCGCGATCGGGCAGAGAGAGGCACGGGAGAGACGGGAGAGGGAAAATCGGCAAATTGAGGCCGATGGAAGGAGAGAACGAGAAACAGAGAGATACGAAAGGGACAGAGAGATCTCAGTGGCGGCAGCAGCTGAAGCCGATGTGAAAATCCGCAGAGAGATCCGAGAACGGGAACCGCGAGAGGAGCTGAGGAGGAGAGAACGACCCCGTGTTTTTGAAGATGAAGAAAGGAGGATAATCCAGGGTAGAGAGAGGGAAGAGACCCTGAGGGAGAGGGGAATAGATCGGGAACGGGAGTTGGAGGGCTCTGAGCGCCGGACACGGGAACGGGAGGAAGAAGTGACCGCGATCGGGCAGAGAGAGGCACGGGAGAGACGGGAAATTCGGGAAATTCGTGAAATTGAGGCCGATGGCAGGAGAGAACGAGATTTCCTGAGCTATGAACGCAGAAGAGAGACCTCGGTGGCTGCAGCTGAAGCCGATGTGAAAATCCGCCGAGAGATCCGGGAACGGGAACCGCGAGAGGAACTGAGGAGGAGAGAACGACCCCGTGTTTTTGAAGATGAAGAGAGAGAAATTTCCCGGGAAAGAGACCGGGAGGAGATTGTGAGGGAGAGAAGGATCGATCTGGAACGGGAACGGGAGGGCTCCGAGCGCCGGAGCCGCCGGACACGGGAACGGGAGGAAGAAGAAGCGACCGCCACTGAGCAGAGCGAGGGGATCACCCTGGAGGTCCTGGAGGAGGAAGAGGAGGAGGATTTGGAGCAGGAGCGCTGCCGGTACCAGACCGTGGACGTGGACACGGCCGATCTGTGCCCCCCGGGCCAGGAGGCGCCGTTCAGCGATCTCCGGGTCCGCTACGTCCCTTCCGAGCCCGATGTCCGGCCCCGGCTCCGCGCTCTGCCCGGCCCCGCTGACCCCCAGACCGTCGCTTACCTGGTGCACGTGGTCCAGAGCGCCGAGGACCCCGAGGCCACCACCTACGAGATCGTTTGTCACCCTCCGGGCCACCAGCGGGGCCAGCTCGGCGCTCCGCGGAAGTGCTCGGTGTCCCCGCGGCCGCAGCGCCCCGAGGCGCCGCCTTCCAAATGCCGGGAAAGCTCCAAAGGTCCGGGTGAGGAATCCGGGAAGGACGCGGCTCCCCGGGATCCGGGCGTGAAGGGCGAGCGGGCAAAATCCAAGGAAATCCAGGAGGAGGAGCGGGATCGCGGGGACGGAACCGGGAGGGAGATCGGGAACGGCCCGAGGGCTGCGGAGCCCCGGGAAGCATCCCGGGATGAGGAGCGGAGAGANCGAGAGAGAGGAGAATCCATCGGGAGAGGGAACGGGAGCTGGAAATCGCGGACAGGGAAAGGGAGGAAACGAGAGAGAGGAGAATCCATCGGGAGCGGGAACGGGAGCTGGAAATCGCGGACAGGGAGAGGGAGATTCGAGAGGAGAGGGAGAGGGAGGAAACGAGAAGAGAAGGGAGAACGGGGGAGAGAAGAATTGATCGAGAGCTGGAGCTGGAGGGCTCTGAGCGCCGGAGGCGGGAACGGGAGGAAGAAGTGACCGCGATCAGGCAGAGAGAGGCCCGGGAGAGACGGGAGCGGGAAATTCGTGAAATTGAAGCCGATGGAAGGAGAGAACGAGCATCAGAGAGATACGAAAGGAGAAGAGAGATCTCGGTGGCTGCAGCAGCTGAAGCCGATGTGAAAATCCGCAGAGAGATCCGGGAGCGGGAACCGCGTGAGGAGCTGAGGAGGAGAGAACGACCCCGTGTTTTTGAAGATGAAGAGAGAGCAATTTCCCGAGAACGAGACCGGGAGGAGATTGTGAGGGAGAGAAGGATCGATCGGGAACGGGAGCGGGACCTGGAGGGCTCTGAGCGCCGGAGCCGCCGGACACGGGAACGGGAGGAAGAAGAGGCCGCCATCAACCAGAGAGAGGCGCGGGAGAGACGGGAAATTCAGGAAATTCGGGAACTCGAAGCCGATGGAAGGAGAGAAAAAGAATCAGTGAGATACGAAAGGGACAGAGAGACCTCGGTGGCTGCAGCAGCTGAAGCCGATGTGAAAATCCGCAGAGAAATCCGGGAACGGGAACCGCGAGAGGAGCTGAGGAGGAGAGAACGACCCCGTGTTTTTGAAAATGAAGAGAGAAGAATTCTCCAGGGCAGAGAGAGGGAAGAGACCGTGAGAGAGAGAAGGATCGATCGGGAACGGGAGCTGGAGGGCTCTGAGCGCCGGAGCCGCCGGACACGGGAGCTGGAGGAAGAAGAGGCCGCCATCCGGCAGAGAGAGGCGCGGGAGAGACGGGAAATTCAGGAAATTCGGGAACTCGAAGCCGATGGAAGGAGAGAACGAGATTTACTGAGCTATGAAAGGAGAAGAGAGACCTCGGTGGCTGCAGCAGCTGAAGCCGATGTGAAAATCCGCCGAGAGATCCGGGAACGGGAACCGCGAGAGGAGCTGAGGAGGAGAGAACGGGAACGGGAGCGGGAGGAGGAAGAGAGAGAAATTTCCCGGGAAAGAGACCGGGAAGAGACCGTGAGGGAGAGGAGAATCGATCGGGAACGGGAGCGGGACCTGGAGGGCTCTGAGCGCCGGAGGCGGGAGCTGGAGGAAGAAGTGACCGCGATCGGGCAGAGAGAGGCACGGGAGAGACGGGAGAGGGAAATTCGTGAGATTGAAGATGATGGGAGAAGAGAATCAGTGAGGTACGAAAGGGACAGAGAGACCTCGGTGGCTGCAGCAGCTGAAGCCGATGTGAAAATCCGCAGAGAGATCCGGGAACGGGAACCGCGAGAGGAGCTGAGGAGGAGAGAACGACCCCGTGTTTTTGAAGATGAAGAGAGGAGAATTCTCCAGGGCAGAGAGAGGGAAGAGACCGTGAGGGAGAGAAGAATCGATCGGGAACGGGAACGGGAGGGCTCTGAGCGCCGGAGGCGGGAACGGGAGGAAGAAGTGACCGCGATCGGGCAGAGAGAGGCACGGGAGAGACGGGAGAGGGAAAATCGGCAAATTGAGGCCGATGGAAGGAGAGAACGAGAAACAGAGAGATACGAAAGGGACAGAGAGATCTCAGTGGCGGCAGCAGCTGAAGCCGATGTGAAAATCCGCAGAGAGATCCGAGAACGGGAACCGCGAGAGGAGCTGAGGAGGAGAGAACGACCCCGTGTTTTTGAAGATGAAGAAAGGAGGATAATCCAGGGTAGAGAGAGGGAAGAGACCCTGAGGGAGAGGGGAATAGATCGGGAACGGGAGTTGGAGGGCTCTGAGCGCCGGACACGGGAACGGGAGGAAGAAGTGACCGCGATCGGGCAGAGAGAGGCACGGGAGAGACGGGAAATTCGGGAAATTCGTGAAATTGAGGCCGATGGCAGGAGAGAACGAGATTTCCTGAGCTATGAACGCAGAAGAGAGACCTCGGTGGCTGCAGCTGAAGCCGATGTGAAAATCCGCCGAGAGATCCGGGAACGGGAACCGCGAGAGGAACTGAGGAGGAGAGAACGACCCCGTGTTTTTGAAGATGAAGAGAGAGAAATTTCCCGGGAAAGAGACCGGGAGGAGATTGTGAGGGAGAGAAGGATCGATCTGGAACGGGAACGGGAGGGCTCCGAGCGCCGGAGCCGCCGGACACGGGAACGGGAGGAAGAAGAAGCGACCGCCACTGAGCAGAGCGAGGGGATCACCCTGGAGGTCCTGGAGGAGGAAGAGGAGGAGGATTTGGAGCAGGAGCGCTGCCGGTACCAGACCGTGGACGTGGACACGGCCGATCTGTGCCCCCCGGGCCAGGAGGCGCCGTTCAGCGATCTCCGGGTCCGCTACGTCCCTTCCGAGCCCGATGTCCGGCCCCGGCTCCGCGCTCTGCCCGGCCCCGCTGACCCCCAGACCGTCGCTTACCTGGTGCACGTGGTCCAGAGCGCCGAGGACCCCGAGGCCACCACCTACGAGATCGTTTGTCACCCTCCGGGCCACCAGCGGGGCCAGCTCGGCGCTCCGCGGAAGTGCTCGGTGTCCCCGCGGCCGCAGCGCCCCGAGGCGCCGCCTTCCAAATGCCGGGAAAGCTCCAAAGGTCCGGGTGAGGAATCCGGGAAGGACGCGGCTCCCCGGGATCCGGGCGTGAAGGGCGAGCGGGCAAAATCCAAGGAAATCCAGGAGGAGGAGCGGGATCGCGGGGACGGAACCGGGAGGGAGATCGGGAACGGCCCGAGGGCTGCGGAGCCCCGGGAAGCATCCCGGGATGAGGAGCGGAGAGATCTCGGAGAGAACCGGGAATCCCGGGAATCTCGGGAATCCCGGGATGCGGAGCGGAGAGATCGCGGAGAGAACCGGGAATCCCGGGAATCTCGGGAATCTCGGGAATCCCGGGATGCGGAGCGGAGAGATCCTGGAGAGAATCGGGAATCTCGGGAATCTCGGGAATCTCGGGAATCCCGGGATGCGGAGCGGAGAGACACCGGAGAGAATCGGGAATCTCGGGAATCTCGGGAATCCCGGGATGCGGAGCGGAGAGATCCTGGAGAGAACCGGGAATCATCCCGGGATGCGGAGAGGAGAGATCGTGGAGAGAACCGGGAATTCCGGGAATCTCGGGAATCCCGGGAATCTCGGGAATCTCGGGAATCTCGGGAATCCCGGGATGTGGAACGCAGAGACCCCGGAGAAAACCGGGAATCCCGGGATGAGCAGAGCCGGGATCCCACCCGAGACGCCCCGAGCCGCCCCCGGGATGAATCCAAAAAGTCCTAAAAGAATTCCGGGGTGTCCAGGGGGGTTTTGGGGTTTTTTTCCGGGATAAATYCCCGGCAGGAAGGGAGATCCCGCTGAACCCTCCTGCCAGCTGTGTCCCTTCCKTATTTAATCAATTTTCTGCTCTCGTTTAATTAATTTTCTGCTCTAATTGGAGCCTTTTTGCACCCTGGGGTGTCACCGCTCAGCTCCCCCCGGCCCCGGGGCTGGGGATCCTCTGGAAAAAATCAGCATTTGGGGGGCTGAAAATCCTCAAAAAATATCACTTTTGAGGCCTGGAAATATTTTTTAAAAATCACTTAGGGAGTCTGAAAATCCTCCCCAAAAAATCACTTTTAGGGTCTAAAAATCCTAAAAAAAAATCCCTTTGGGGTCTGAAAATCCTAAAAAAAAATCCCAAAATACTTTTGTGGTCCAAAAATCCTCCAAGCTGGGAAAAATCCCGGTTTTTTTTAGGATTTAATCCAGAATTCCAGCTGCAGGCCCGGGGGTCGGAGCAGCCGCAGGGTCCCGGTGGTGGGTGGGGGATTTTTCTCCTTTTTTTTCCTTTTTTTTCCTTTTTTTTCCTTTGTTTTTTTTCCTTTTCCTGGTTCCCCCTGTCTGTATCGCATGGAAAACAGGAATAAATAAACGGTTCATTCCTGCAGCGGCTCCACGTGTCCGTTCCGGGGGTTGGGAGGGGACCTGGATCCCGGCAGGAATTCCAAGAAACTTCCCCAAATCCCAGAAAAAATCCCGACCCCTGTTCCCCGTGAAGATTTTGGGCGTTTTCCTCCTTTTCCTGCTCTGAATTCCAGCGGAAATTCCCAGAAACGTCTCCAAATCCCAGAACTCATCCTGACCCCATTTCACCCCCATTTCCCCTGAAGATTTTGGGGATTTTTCCCCTTTTTCCTGCTCTGAATACCAGCAGGAATTCCCAGAAACTTCCCCAAATCCCACAACTCATCCCGATCCTGTTTCCCCTGAAGATTTTGGGGTTTTTTTTCCCCCTGAATATTTTCGGATTTTTTTTTCCCCTGAAGATTCTGAGGTTTTTTTCCCCCCTGAATATTTTGGGGTTTTTTTCCCCCTGAAGATTTTGAGGTTTTTTTCCTCCCTGAATATTTTAGGATTTTTTTTCCCCTGAATATTTTGGGTTTTTTTTTCCCCCCTGAAAATTTTGGTTTTTTCCCCCCGCGGTTAAACCCAGCACTCTCCCAACGGAACAACCCGGGATTAAACCGGGATAAACGGGATAAAACCGGGATAAAGCGGGACGGGGATGAACAATTTGGCAATAAATCACCCCAAAATCGGGTCCGGGCACATTCCGGACGCTCCGGGCGGGGCTGGRGACGGGAATTGCCCAACGCGGCTGAGTCAGAGCGGGCGGGGCGCGGCCCCGGGGCGGACCCGGATTTCACTTCCCCGAGTTCCGATCCCAAAATTCAGACCCAGCCCGGCCCGGAGCGGAGCTCAATCCTGCCCTAAAAATGGTGAGGGGTTGGGATTGACGGGAATGGGGTGGGGAAGGGGATCCCGAGCGGGGGGAATGGGGAATTTCCTATAAAAAATCCTAAAAGTGGAGAGGGCGGGGTCGGGAATGGGGCCAAGGGAAGGATTTTTCAGGAAGGGGTTTGGGATTGCGGAAAAAGGGTCCCAGGATTTGTGGGGTAGAGAGACGGGAATGGGATGGACAGGAACTTTTCCTATAAAAAATCCTAAAAGTGGAGAGGGCGGGGTCGGGGAATGGGGCAAAGGGAAGGATTTTGTAGGAAGGGGGTTTGGAAATTGGGAAAAAGGGATGGGAAAAGAGCAAAAAGGGTCCCAGGATTTGTGGGGCGAAGAGGTGACTCCGTAGGGACAGGAAGGGAACTTTTCCTATAAAAAAACCCCAAAACCACAGCAGGAAAGGGACAGGGAATGGGGCCAAGGGAAGGATTTTGAAAGGAGGGGTTTGGAAATGGGGAAAAAGGGTCCCAGGATTTGTGGGGTGGAGTGGGACAGGAGTTTTTTCTATAAAAAATCCTAAAAGTGGAGAGGGCGGGGTCGGGGAATGGGGCCAAGGGAAGGATTTTTCAGGAAGGGGTTTGGAAATGGGGGAAAAGGGGAGAAAAAAAGAGCAAAAAGGGTCCCGGGATTAGTGTGAGATTCCATAGGGACGGGAAGGGGATGGGACAGGAATTTTTCCTATAAAAAACCCCAAAACCACAGCAGGAAGGGGACAGGGAATGGGGCCAAGGGAAGGATTTTGCAGGAAGGGGATTTGGGATTGGAGGAAAAGGGGAAGGAAAAGGGTTCCAGGATTTGTGGGGCGGAGAGGGACAGGAACTTTTCCTATAAAAATCCCTAAAAGTGGAGAGGGCGGGGTCGGGGAATGGGGCAAAGGGAAGGATTTTCCAGGAAGGGGGTTTGGGATTGGGGAAAAAGGGGAGGAAAAAGGGCAAAAAGGGTTTTAGGATTTGTGGGAGATTCCATAGGGACGGGACAGGAACTTTTCCNAATCCTGCCCTAAAAATGGTGAGGGGTTGGGATTGACGGGAATGGGGTGGGGAAGGGGGACCCGAGCGGGGGAATGGGGAATTTCCTATAAAAAACCCTAAAAACGGAGAGGGCGGGGTCGGGGAATGGGGCCAAGGGAAGGATTTTGAAAGGAAGGGGTTTGGGATTGCGGGAAAAGGGACGGGAAAACATCAAAAAGGGTCCCAAGATTTGTGGGAGATTCCATAGGGACGGGATGGGGATGGGACAGGAATTTTTCCTATAAAAAGTCCTAAAAAGTGGGAGGGCGGGGTCGGGGAATGGGGCCAAGGGAAGGATTTTGTAGGAAGGGGTTTGGAAATGGGAGAAAAGGGACAAGAAAAGGGTCCCAGGATTTGTGGGAGATTCCATAGGGACGGGATGGGGGTGGGACAGGAATTTTTCCTATTAAAAAAAACCCCAAAACCACAGCAGGAAGGGGACAGGGAACGGGGCCAAGGGAAGGATTTTGAAAGGAGGGGTTTGGGATTGGGGGAAAAAAGGTCCCAGGGTTTGTGGGGCCGAGAGGGACAGGAATTTTTCCTATAAAAAACGCCAAAAGTGGAAAGGGCGGGGTCGGGGAATGGGGCCAAGGGAAGGATTTTGCAGGAAGGGGTTTGGAAATGGGGGAAAAGGGACGGGAAAAGGGTCCCAGGATTTGTGTGAGATTCCATAGGGATGGGATGGGGGTGGGACAGGAATTTTTCCTATTAAAAAAACCCCAAAACCACAGCAGGAAGGGGACAGGAAATGGGGCCAAGGGAAGGATTTTCCACGAAGGGGGTTTGGAATTGGGGAAAAAGGGGAGGAAAAAGGGCAAAAAGGGTCCCAGGATTTGTGGGGTGAAGAGGTGACTCCGTAGGGACAGGAAGGGAACTTTTCCTATAAAAAACCCCAAAAGTGGAGAGGGCGGGGTCGGGAATGGGGCCAAGGGAAGGATTTTGTAGGAAGGGGTTTGGAATTGGGGAAAAAGGGGAGGGAAAAGGGCAAAAAGGGTCCCAGGATTTGTGGGGTGGAGAGGGACGGGACAGGAACTTTTTCTACAAAAAAACCCCATTGGGGAGGCGGATGGGNGGGATTGGCTCCTCCAGCCTTTCCCTAATCCCAAAAATATCGGGATTGGCTCCTCCAGCCTTTCCCTAATCCCAAAAATATCGGGATTGGCTCCTTCAGCCCTTCCCTAATCCCAGAAATATCGGGATTGGCTCCTCCAGACTCTCCCTGCTCCCAAAAACATCGGGATTGGTCCTGGAACACCTGGAATGGGCAGAGGAGAGTTCTAGAACCCATCCCTAGCCAAAAAAAAATTGGGATTGCTCCCGAAAAAATGGGGATTGCTCCTGAAAAAATTGGGATTGCTCCCAAAAAAAAACTCCGGATTACTCTTGAAAGAAACCCAGGATTGCTCCCAAAAAAATTGGGATTGGTCCCAAATAAAACCGGGATTGTTCCTGGCTCAGCTGGGGTGGGGAGGGCGCTCCCCCAGCCCTTCCCTCCCCCCAAAAAACATTGGGATTGCTCTCCAAAAAAAAAACAAACTAATTCCTCCTGAAAATGTTTGGATTACTCCCGAAAAAAAGTCGGGATTACTCCTGAAAAAGAAACCAGGATTGCTCCCTAAAAAAAAATGGGATTGCTCGCGAAAAAATTGGAAATGCTCCAAATAAACCCGGGATTGCTCCCAAAAAACCCGTGATTGCTCCAAATAAAACCGGGATTGCTCCCAAAAAACCCGGGATTGCTCCAAATAAAACTGGAATTTCTCCCAAAAATACCGGGATTGCTCCAAAAAAGATCGGGATTTCTCAAAAAAACCCCGGGATTTCTCCAAATAAAACCGGGATTTCTCCAAATAAACCCGGGATTGCTCCTGGCTCACCCGGGGCGGGAAGGGAGCTCCTCCAGCCCTTTCCTCATCCCAAAATCCCGGTTTTTTTCCCCATTCCGCAGCCCACGGAGACGGAGCGCTGCATCGAGTCGCTGCTGGCCGTGTTCCAGCGCTACGCGGGCAAAGAGGGCGATTCGCTCACCCTGAGCAAACGGGAATTCCTGGATTTCATGAACACCGAGCTGGCCGCTTTCACCAAGGTCGGGAATTCCGGGAAAACCGAGGGATTGGAGCGGGTTCTGTACCGGGAATGGGGATGGGAGAGGGGATTTTTGCTGTTTTTACAGAAGGAATTTGGGGATTTTTTTTCCCCTTTTTGTTGCTCTGAATCCCAGCAGGAATTCCCAGAAGCTTTCCCAAATTTCAGAACTCCTCCCGACCCCAGTTTCCCATTGGATTTGGGTATTTCAGGATTTTCCATCCCAAACCATTCCAGGATTCCCAGTCTCGGTTTTATGGGATTTTTGGGATAAATCCAGCCCGCTGGATTATCCCATGGATTTCCCCATCCCTGGAAATGCCCAATCCCACCTGGGATCCCCCTGGGATAATGGGATTGGGATAATCCTTAAGGTCCCTCCATCCCAAAGAATTCCAGCATTCCCTGGACTGATTTAACAGGATTTTAGGGATTTTTGGGATAAATTCTCCCCTATCCCATGGATTTCCTCATCCCTGGAAATCCCCAATCCCATTGGGATCCCCCTGGCACATCGGGATCGGGATGGTCCCTCCATCCCAAAGATTTCCAGCATTCCCTGGACTGATTTGACATGATTTTAGTGATTTTTGGGATAATTTTTTTCCTATCCCATGGATTTTCCTATCCCTGGAAATCCCCAATCCCATTGGGATCCCCCTGGGATAATGGAATCAGGATAATTCTTAAGGTCCCTCCATCCCAAACCGTTCCAGGATTCCCAGTGTTGGTTTAATGGGATTTTTTTTTATTTTTGGGATAAATTCTACCCTATCCCATGGATTCCCCATACTTGGAAGTGCCCAATCCCATTGGGATCCCCCTGGGATAACGGGATTGGGATGGTCCCTCCATCCCAAAGAATTCCAGCGTTCTCTGGGCTGTTTTAACGGGATATTAGTGATTTTAGGGATAATTTTTTCCCTATCCCATGGATTTCCCCATCCCTGGAAATCCTCAATCCCACTGGAACCCCCCCTGGCACATCGGGATCATCCCTCCCACAATTTGGGATTTCAGATCCTCCTTCCCACCCATCCTGAACCCCCCGATCCCACCCCAGCCATGAAATCCCCGCTCRTTCCGCACCCAAATTCCCGTTTTTTTCCCCCAGAACCAGAAGGACCCGGCGGTGGTGGACAGGATGATGAAGAAATTGGATCTCAACAGCGACGGCNAATGGGCGAAAACGGGGATTTTCTCCAAAAAAAACGGTCCCACGCCAAGGTTGGATCCAGGCCGGGCCGTTCCCGCCCCTCCCCGGGGCATTTTCCAGGAGCCGCTCCCCGTTCCGGGCCCTTCCCGCTGCTCCCGGGCCGCGGGGAGTGAAATCCGCGGAAAAATGCGGGCGGACGGGTCGGGCAGAGCCGCTCCCTCATCCAAAAAAATATCGGGATTGGCTCCTTCAGCCCTTCCCTAATCCCAAAAATATCGGGATTGGCTCCTCCAGCCTTCCCCAATCCCAAAAATATCGGGATTGGCTCCTCCAGCCTTTCCCTAATCCAAAAAAAAAAAAATTGGGATTGGCTCCTCCAGCCTTCCCTGTCCCCAAAAAATCGGGATTGGCTCCTCCAGCATTTCCCTAATCCCAAAAAATATCGGGATTGGCTCCTCCAGACTCTCATGTTCCCAAAAAATCGGGATTGGCTCCTCCAGCCTTTCCCTCATCCCAAAAAAAATCGGGATTGGTCCTGGAACACCTGGAATGGGTACAGGAGGCTCCTGCAGCCTTTCCCCGCTCTGAAAAAATCGGGATTGCTTCCAAAAACTTGTGATTGCTCCCGAAAAAAATTGGCATTGCTCCCAAAGAAGTTTGGATTGCTCCCAAAAAGATTGGGATTAGTCCTGAAAAAATGTGAGATTGTTCCTGGCACAACCGGGGCGGGAAGGGAGCTCCCCCAGCCCTTTCCTCATCCCAAAATCCCCTTTTTTTCCCATTCCACAGCCCACGGAGACGGAGCGCTGCATCGAGTCGCTGCTGGCGGTGTTCCAGCGCTACGCGGGCAAAGAGGGAGATTCGCTCACCCTGAGCAAACGGGAATTCCTGGATTTCATGAACACCGAGCTGGCCGCTTTCACCAAGGTCGGGAATTCCGGGAAAAACGAGGGATTCCAGAGGGTTCCGTACCGGGAATGGGGATGGGAGAGGGGATTTTTGCTGTTTTTACAGAAGGAATTTGGGGATTTTTTTCCCCTTTTTGTTGCTCTGAATCCCGGCACGAATTCCCAAAGAAAATGGAAACTTTCCCAAATCCCAGAACTCATCCCAACCCCTGTTCTCCTGAAGATATTTGGGATTTTTCCCCCTCTTTCCTGCTCTGAATTCCAGCAGGAATTCACAGAAACTTCCCCAAATCCCAGAACTCATCCTGACCCCATTTCACCTCCGTTTCCCCCAAAGATTTTGGGGATTTTCCCCTTTTTCTGCCCTGAATCCCGGTAGGAATTCCCAGTAATTGTCCCGAATCCCAGAATTTGTCCCAACCCCTGTTCTCCTGAAGATTTTTGGGATTTTTCCCCCTTTTTCCTGCTCTGAATCCCAGCAGGAATTCCCAAAAACTTCCCCAAATCCCAGAATTCATCCCGACCCCCGTTTCCCGTTGGATTTGGGTATTTCAGGATTTTCCATCCCAAACCATTCCAGGATTCCCTGGGCTGTTTTAATGGGATTTTTGGGATAAATTCTCCTCTTTCCCAGGTTATCCCACGGATTCCCCATCCCTGAAAATCCCAAATCCCATTGGAATCCCCCCGGCACATCGGGATCGGGATGGTCCCTCCATCCCAAACCATTCCAGGATTCCGAGTTCTAATTTAATGGGATTTTAGAGATTTTTGGGATTTCTTTTTCCCTATCCCATGGATACCCGATCCCTGAAAATCCCCAATCCCATTGGAACCCCTCTGGCACAGCAGGATCGGGATGGTCCCTCCATCCCAAAGAATTCCAGCATTCCCTGGGCTGGTTTAATGGGATTTTAGGGATTTTTGGGATAAATTTTCTCCTATCCCATGGATTCCCCATCCCTGAAAATCCCCAATCCCATTGGAACCCCCCTGGCACATCGGGATTGGGATGGTCCCTCCATCCCAAACCATTCCTGGATTCCCAGTCCAGGTTTAATGGGATTTTTTTTTTTTTTTTTGTATTTTTGGGATAAATTCTCNCCGCACCCAAATTCCCGTTTTTTCCCCCCAGAACCAGAAGGACCCGGCGGTGGTGGACAGGATGATGAAGAAATTGGATCTCAACAGCGACGGCCACTTGGATTTCCAGGAATTCCTCAACCTCATCGGGGGCATCGCCGTGGCCTGCCACAACAGCCTGCTCCTCAAACCCCAAAATCCGTAGGGTCCGGGAGAATCCCAAATTTCCAAATCCCCCGGGACCCAAATCGGAATCCCTCAAATCGGAAAAGCCACGTTTCCCCCATTTTTCCCCTTTTTTTCCCTTTTTTTCCCAATTTTTTCCCCGATTTTTTCCTGATTTTTTCCCCATTTTTCCCCACTTTTTCCCCCCATTTCTCCCCATTTCTCTCAATTTCCCCCCATTTTTCCCTGTTTTTCCCCATTTTTCCCATTTTCCCTCATTTTCCCACATTTTTCCACATTTTTCCCTGTTTTTCCCCCCTTTTTACAGATGAAATAAAAGTTTTTAATTCCAATGTTCGGCGTTTCGCTCCTTAATTCTTCCTGCCCGGTGCCGGCCAAGCCCAGGTGGTGAAAATTGGGATTTTTTTTGGTTTTTTTTGGTTTTTCTGGACAATTTTATGATCAAAATTCTTCCTGGTGGGGCTGAAAGTGAGAACATCCACAGAGAATTCCTGCCGGGAATTGGAGCTTCCAGGTGGGAATTGTGCCTCAAAAATGCCCCCAAAAAATCCCCCAAACCACCCCAAAAAACCTATAAAAAATCAAAAAAAAATCCCAAATATATAAAAAAAAATCAACTTTTCCACCCCAAACACCCATTCCAGAATTTTCCAGGAGGAACTGCCTCCGTTTCCTCATCCACATTCCCCAATCCCATATTTTTTTCCGGAAAAATCTGATTTTTCGGATTTTTCACCTCGTCAGGTGCTTTCTGAGCAAGAAGGAGCCTCACAGGATGTTCCGGGTGGGGTTTTTTGGTGTTTTTTTTTTCGGTGGTTTTGGGTTTTTGGTTTTTTTTCGCAGCGTTTTTTTTTTCTCAGAAATCATTTCCCGGCAGCAAAACCTTTCCGAAAATTCTTCCCGTGGAGAGCGGCGAAATGTGAGTCATTCCCGGGATTCAAATTTGGGGGATTTCCAACCCTGGATGGTGCCAAAGTAGGAATCGGGCGTGGTTTGGATTCTTTGATCCCGAAACTCCTCCCCGACCTCGGGAATTCAAGAATTCCGGCTCGGAAAAACAGGAAAGTCGGCGAAATCTGGAGGAAAAAAAACAAACCAAAATCATCAAATTCTGGAATTCCGGCTCTGAAAATCGGCAAAATCGGTGCAATTTGGAGGGAAAAAAAACAACCCAAAATCTTCGAATTCCTGCTCTGAAAATCGGGAAAAGCAGCGAAATTTGGAGGAAAAAAAAGCCCCAAAATCTTCAAATTCTGGAATTCCTGCTCTGAAAATCGGGAAAAGCAGCGAAATTTGGAGGAAAAAAAAAAGCCCCAAAACCAAGGATTTGGTTTCTCCCGGGTGAGTTTTTTGGGCGTTTTGGATGTTTTTTTCCCGATTTTGGGTTCTTTTTGGGAGGTTTTTCCCCTCCTCCTCCTCGCTGGGGATCCCAAACTGGGATATTCCCGGGAAATTTGGGGTTTTCCTGGGAAATTTGGGATTTTCTGGGTGACGGAGCAGCTTTTGGGGTGTCCCAAAAGGAGAATCCCCCCACGTCCTTTTCCGAGATCGGTTGAAAANGTCCCCATTTTCTCCGTGATCCCGGGATGGGCTCCGGCCCCTGGCTCCGGCTCCTCCTGGCCCTCGCAGTTTTTTGGGGTACGTTGGTGATTTTCTCTGGATTTTGGGTTTTTTTGAGGAGGTTTTTCCCAATTTGGGGTTTTTTGGGTTTTTTTGTGTGTGTGGTTCTTCCTGGGTTTTTGGGGGTTTTGGGTGGTTTTTTCCCGGATTTTGGGTTCATTTTGGGCGGTTTTCCCCTCAGTTTGGATTTCCTTTGGAATTGCCTCCCTTTCGGATTTGGGGTCTCTTCCTCTGGGTTTGGGGTCTCCCTTTTGAATTTGGGATCTCCCCCTTGGATTTGGGGTCTCCCGCTTTGAATTTCGGGTCTCCTTTTTGTATTTGGGTCTCCCCCTTCGGATTTGGGGTCTCCCCTTTGATTTGGGGTCTCCCCTTTAGATTTGGGGTTTCTCCCCTTCGTATTTGGGGTCTCCCCCTTTGGATTTGGGGTTTCTCCCTTGGATTTGGAGTCTCCCCCTTGGGTTTGGGGTCTCCCCTTCATATTTGGGGTCTCCCTTTGGAATTTGGGGTCTCCTCTTTATGTTTGGGGTCTCTCCCCTTTGGATTTGGGGCCTCCCCTTTGGATTTGAGGTTTTCTCTTTGGATTTGGGGTTTTCCTTTCGAATTTGAGGTCTCCCTTTGGATTTGGGGTCACCGGGGCACATCCAGTGCCATCCCTGCCTCGATCCCATAGGATTCGTCCAGGATCAGGATCGGGATTGGGATTGGGACAACCCCCATGACCCCAAACCCTTCCCCCTCTCCCTCCGCAGGGATCCAAGCCCAGAAAACCATTCTGGGAACTTTGGGAAAGCCGACGATCCTACAAATCCCCCCGGAACTCCAAGAGCGCGCCCGTAGCTCCGGCGAGGCCTCCTGGAAAAAATCCCTGGAGGAGCCCCAAAAGAAGAAATTCCTGCTGAAGCTTTCGGGGCCGAATTTCACCGAGTTCGAGCGGGGCCGGATCCGCTTCCACCRGGAAGATTTTTCCCTGGAAATCCTCAACACGAGCCGGGAGGACGAGCGGCTCTACGAGTTCAGCGTCAGCGCCGGCCCCGAGGAGTCGCTCTGGCAGATCCACCTGC